GAGTTTCCAATCTTCTCCCAGTGCTTTTTCAAGAGTGCAAACATTAGCTCAAATGCTGAATATGCAAGTAGTGCTAATAAGGAATAAGAGCTGGATTTTACAAGACTTTTGAAATATACCTGTTGAAAAATGACTTAAACCAGCCTGAATTGTTTTTCCGCTTTCCCCTAGCATGGTGAGGATGGGATGTTTTTTTTAATGCTGGATGCTGGTTTTAGAGAGATTTGGGCCATGCTAACAACTGTTACACAACATCTTAGAACCAGCTTAAACCAGGAAAACAGGCTTGGGCTGGCTTGCTATGTTTTTCTTAATATCTCTATTTCACGATCATAATTATCATTGAGGTCTGGAGTGTGAGACTTGTTGCTGTGTCCTGACCATCTGGTTTGAACTCACTCAACTCTGATCTTGACCAGTCGTGTCCATGCCATATGTAGAGTGCAAAACCATCAATCTACCATTAGTTGAAGACAGATTCTCATGGTTTCTTGTTTTTAATCACTCCTCCGCATTGTTAGGGGATTTTGAGTTTTTGGAGTCGTTTTTGAAGTTTGCGCTCTGGTAAATAAAAAAAATGAAAATTTACTGTGAAAAGCACTATATACTTGAATTAACTGAAACCGTTTCTCTTCAGGTTTACATTGTACAGTTTTACAGATAATATTTTAATAACTTATTTTGTTTTTAGTACAATAGATAATACAAATTATAACAATGTTAAATAAAATTATTATAAATAAATATTTTAAATGTTTTTTATATAAAACAACTTAAAACAAACAACATACCTCTATATATAATATAAACGGTATATCATGCTTATTGTTTTTTATTGATATATTTTTTTACAATATTAATGGGTCCGTATACAAAAAAAAATTTTTTTTAGAAAAGGGGTCCTTAACATTAGAAAGTTTAAAATGGTAAAGTGAGGTGCTGAATTTATCTCATCCTATTCATGCAGCTTTCAGTGTTCAGCATAATCAGGAACAGATTTTACTTGTCTGTCAATACAGACTAGCAAATTCAGAGCCAGAATTGGAAAATTATTTAATGTTACTCCTGCCAGTGATTGGAACTGTGTTTTCAGATTCACATTTGAATGAAAATCAAAGGTGACAGTTATTTGCATCTCATATAGTGATGCAAGTTCATTACACATTCTAGAGCACATTTTTCCATACTTACAAATGAGTCAAATAATGCATTCTGTCAGTCATTTCTCCTCATTAGACAATGATCCAGCAGAGGCCTTGCTGTAGCTCAGTTAATCCACATTAATTGAAATAGGAAATCACTCACAGTTAGAGCCAAGCAGCCCTTTTCTGGTTTGTCAATGTGGATTGAAAATTACATTATAAAACCTTAATCCACTGCACTCATAAACAGTGCATATGAAGTACACCAATCAAGTAAAGTACAGAGACCCTCCGGTGAAAATGTAAATACTCTTTTTATAAATTAGATTTGAGTAAAAGTACAAAAGTGCTTACTTCCTACTTTTTATCACAACTTTAATTGGAAGCAAGAGCTGAAAAAAGCAGTCTAATGTTACTGTATTATGAATTATCATCGTAAAGTGATGCAAGAACCCTGTCTTAAATTTGTTTGTTTTTCGAAAGTCCATTTCACTTGGATTTACATCAGTTCAAACGAAAATATTTTTTGCTACTTCCAACTTCAAGAGCTGAAACTAGTTTAACAAAGTGGCATGCTTCTTTAATGGACTATGATAATAAAGTATGATGAAAAATTAAAACTTAAAAGCAACACTCCACTATTTTTGAAAATAGGCTCATTTTCCAACTCCCCTAGAGTTAAACAGTTGAGTTTTACCGTTTTCGAATCCATTCAGCCGATCTCCGGGTCTGGCGGTAGCACTTTCAGTTGTAGCTTAGCATAGATAATTGAATCTGATTAGACCGTTAGTATCTCGTTCAAAAATGACCAAACAGTTTCTATATTTTTCATATTTAAAACTTGACTCTTCTGTAGTTACATCGTGTACTAAGACCGACGGAAAATGAAAAGTTGCGATTTTCTAGGCCGATATGGCTAGGAACTATACTCTCATTCCGGCGTAATAATCAAGGAACTTTGCTGCCGTACCATGATTGCAGCAGGCACAATGATATTACGCAGCACCTGAAAATAGTCCCCAGCTAGGTAACTTCCAATAAGCCTATTTTCGAGATGGTCCTCACTGCAGAACACAAGATCCAGGGGGCGAGGTTGGATCCAGATCCAACTCCTCCCACCTTACATATACCTAAACCTACCCGTCTTCACCCCCTGATCCCTAAACCCACCCATCTCCACCACCTAGATGTGGATCCAACCCTGCCCCCTGGATCTTTGCTCTGCAGTGAGGGGCTACTGCTATTTTCAGGCGCTGCGTAATATCATTGCGCCTGCTGCACCCATGGTACGGCAGCAAAGTTCCTTGATTATTACGCCGGAATGAGAGTATAGTTCCTAGCCATATCGGCCTAGAAAATCACAACTTTTCATTTTCCGTCGGTCTTGGTACACGATGTAACTACAGAAGAGTCAAGTTTTAAATAGGAAAAATATCGAAACTCTTTGGTCATTTTTGAGCGAGATGCTAACGGTCTAATCAGATTCAATGATCTATGCTAAGCTACAGCTGAAAGTGCTACCGCCAGAACCGGAGATCGGCTGAATGGATTCGAAAATAGTAAAACTCAACTGTTTAACTCTAGGGGAGTTGGAAAATGAGCATATTTTCAAAAATAATGGAGTGTTCCTTTAAAGAAAAAAGTGGCCTCTATTTAAAGCCACTTCCACAAATTCTCTGGATTAGATCCTAGCTATAAGGGATCTGAACCTATTGCTATACAATCTGAACCAAAAGCTCTTCCTATCCAAAACTCATCCAGCAAAGTTGCTTGTAATAATCCATGGACTGCCTTCATCAATCCTTGGTGCTGCATTAATGGAGCTTTACTCCCCACCAGTCAATGCAGAGGTTTTAAACGTCTGCCGTCCCAAAGAACCAACTGGGATGTGCTTTGACATATCATCAAACATCTCTCTTAACACATGACTCCATATGAAATGAGTGTGGGGACAGGACGATGCACTCCCTGACCCATATTTAACTGAACCACCCAGCACTACCCACACGTATCCCAGCAACGGCCCGTCCACACTAGCATACATTTTCAAATGTTTCTTTCTCTTTTAAACCCAGAGGGGCCCACAGGGTTTTAAATACACCACATGTGAGTTAATTAAGTTTGCTGCCTACTTTGTGTGATTTCAAATGTGACTAGATGGCACGAGGTGAGAGGGGTCAGATTCAGAGGCATAGAGAAATGTTCAGAGGTTAGAAAGTGTTTATTAAAATTTCAAAATGATCTCCAGAGAAGAAGGACTCATGTGAGACACACTCACATTCACCACTGGTTCACATCTTTGTGGCTTGACTTGAACCACCCTACTTTAACTAGGCCATAGTTAATGTGCTCAAAACAGACTGGTGTATTCATTAAACATGTCTATTTCTGCGCTTGTTTCTAAGCGACTGAAAATTCACATTTCTGCTTTGGACAGCTGTGTTGATGCTCTTGCGTGGATGCTATTTATAAGCAAATATGTTTTGTCCTTAAAGCTACATTTTGGCAACTGCAACACCAAAATAACAGTCTTTCAGGGTTTAAATTATTTATGCGGCAGATAAGCCATTTCAGGGAGTAAATTCAATTTATGAAGAGAGGAATTCAAATAGTGGCTTGTAAAAATTTGCATCTAAATAAAAGATGTAGGCATTTGTAATAGTAATTTGGATGGTCAGGTGAGGCTCTCTGCATTGGGCCAATTTAATTATTCAATGACTCGTTCATAAAGATTAGCTGCATTTGGAACAGCATCTACAACAATTTTAGAAAACGGTCACGTTTCGTTTCTGAATAAGTCAGTGCTTTTGAACAAATTGGTTGAAAGAAAAATTCATGACTCACTCAAAAAGACAGTCGCTTGTCGCCACCTACTGGCGAATGGATAAATTAAAATATGTCCATTGCATGATTACTACACTTTCAAACCAATCAGCTTTATATTGAAAGATTAGCAAAAAGCAGCAAATTTGCATGTTTTAACAGACTTTAATCCGATTTGAAATGGCAAATTTTCGCTGGCAAAATACAATAATTTCGATATGAATCACTGTGAAATTCACAATTACTTGGATTCCTGTTGAGTTTTGGATTCCTCTTGTGTTTCTCACAGATTTTTTGCCGTACAAACGTGATTTGTGACCGCATTTTAATACACAGACCGACAGTCTTTCATGAACACGCGAACATGGACACTAATGAGAATTACGTGTTACATTTTCATGAATTCCAAACCCAAGTGCACAGTTATTGACAAAATAATAGACAAAGAAATCCATATCAGTAACAGTACTGTAAAACAAGTCTTAGAACATGAGTTTTATTGGGTTTTGTATGCAATCCGAACATGTAAAACTGCAAATGATTGATGCATCAGTGGAAAACAGTCTGACATGGTGTGAATCATTCTCCAGGAGAAAAGAAACCCCTTTAGGTGAGCACAGGATAGTAAGGAGACAGTCCTAGCGAGGATTTACAACAACAAACATTTGGTATTCTATAGGCTTACTAATGTATCATTGCATGGTTTGTTCACATAGACTGTGCCTGATGATCTGTTATATTTGTCCACAAAAATGTTGAAACCTTTTTATTACATGTAGACACTGAGGCATACATGTATGCGCCATATACATTCAAACATCATGTTCATCTAAAATTTTCTGTCATTTTTTTTTAAACATTTGATTTTCTTTTTAAATGAATAAATACAATAAATAATAATAAATAATAAAATGGCCACCTTCCGGCATGCCTTTTTCCTCACATAAAAACATTGTAAAAATATATACATACAGAGGTAGGACAACAATGGATCATTTAAAAAACCTTTCTAAAAAAACACAAACAAAAAAACAGGTGAAGGACCAGAGCGCGGAGGCATATACACTGCATGGCGTATGTTGCATGTAGAGTGGTGAACAACAGGACAACCTTCTCTCCTCATATCATGTTCTGAAAATAAACAAGCCCAAAATGACATAAAATCTTCATTTTGTTGCCAAGCAATCTAGTTCTGGCACATTAAAGCTGTAACATGCAGTAATATTCTACCTAGCTCTAACAAACAAACGTATTAGTTGTATTTTTAATATTCAATGGAATATCAATACCATGGAGACCACATGAGACAACACAGTTCTTTAAAAAAAGTGGAAATGCAATCATTTGCCTGATTCATTTAGTGTGCTTCCAGCTCTGCACGCCGAGTGTCCTGGAGCTTATCGATTGCTAATTTACTACAATGCTCCAAGGCCCCACGCGTGGCCAGTGACTAATGAACTTATTCAGACCATGTGTCGACCGGGCAAGATACACAGTCCCACACAAACTCATCTAACCTCATTTCTCCTCCTTCCTGCCCCCAAGGAACGCGAGGTTGCGGAGGAGTGAGAGGCAGAGCTTCTGGAGAGGGAACAGTGGCTTGACATCTGACCGCTGGACAGCAGGTTTGCTTTGAAATACTGGATTAAATCTTCATCTGTGCAATGAAACAGTCAAAACAGTCAAATATAGAGTGAGAAACAAAAATGCAACACACAGAACTATATTTTTACATTTTATAAAGAATATGAGATGCTGCCTGCCCGTGCGTGGTTCTATGGGTTATGCTGTGGGTGGTTGCCAGGGAGTTTCCTTGCAGTTGCTAAGGTGTTGTAAGAGATTTTTACTAGGAAGTTTAGATGTGGATTTGTTTTTGTTGATATCAGTCACAACAATATTTTATGAAGAAGATGAGAGTGGTGTTAGCATTTATGATACTAGTATGTCAGAATGGATGATACTGTGGATGGTTGCCAGGGCGTTTCTACGCAGTTGCTAAAGGGTTCAATGTCACACTGAACCAATGTCAAGACAGCCCAGAGATGTTAATTTGCATGTTCTCTAAATGTTTCGATTTGTATTTATATAAATGTCAAGATCTATATTTATATTTAACATTTATTTAAAACAATAATAAATTTTTATATTTAAAACTTATAATTTAGTTTTACATTTAGGTTTAACATTTATATTTATATGTTATATATAACATTTATATTAGTTTTTGATGTTTAAGATTTACATTTAGATTTAAATAGAATATTTAGTATCAAAATAAATATCAAATACATAAATGCATAATTGTTTGAAAACAGCATAAAACGACGATATTTTTTGCAACCAGTTTAATTTTAGAAATTGCCACACTGATATGTAGTTATATTTATGTATTTTATTTTATTTATAACACTATAACATTTATTTATAACATTAATACTTAATATTATATTTAACATTTATGTTTTAGATTTACAATTAGATACATATATGATACAATTAGATAACATGTTTAACATGTTTAGATTTTATGTACAACCTTTATATTTACTTGTTATATTTAAGCTTTAACCTTTAGATTTAAATAGAAGATTTAGATACAACAATTATATAATTTTAAATTATATAATTTTAGGTATTGTCTTTACACAAATGCATAATTTAAAAAAAAAAGGTTTTGCATCAAAAATTGCCATATTTAGCAGTTGTAACATTTTTGTAACCCGTATTATTTTTTTAAAAACATTTAATTAGCATTTATATTTTAGATATACATGTTTAAGATTTAACATTTGCATTTATATTTAACATTTAGGTTTAAATAGATAATTTAGATCACACATTTAGATTTAGATTTCATAATCTATATACGACTACTGTTTTATACAAATACATTTTTAAAAAAAATTATATTTACATAAAACTGGCCATTTTTAGGAGTTTTAAAAAATTTTATTTTAAAAATGACATGCCATATTTTATTGCATTGCTATGTTATTGCTAAGGTGTTTTGGGGCTGATTTTAGTAGCAATAGTGATACTTGCAATCACTACTAGCTAAAGTTTTTTGTTATTCCTAAAGTCTGACCTTCCGTGCTCCACTGTGCAGCTGTTCTGCGGTCTGATCTTCTCTCTCTGTGGTGTGGAGGCATCCTGCTCCCGCCATTGTCCAGTGTGTCTGTCAGGTGCTTGAGTGGGTCCTCCGTTACAGGAGGGGGCTCAGGTGGGGGAGGCAGGTCTGCAGAAACGCACAAACCAAAAGTGTGAATGATCATCTATACACTCCATTATTACAGAAGAACAATTGCTTTAATTACTTCAGTCAATAATTTATTAACTATGTGGGTCCTTACTCCCTGGTTTCAACACTTCACGTCTCGCAAGGCCATCCTTTTGAGATTTCTTCTTAGGCCTGGGCTTCTGAACTGAGGACATGAATGATGTATATTCTTCTAATAGCAGTGCAGATTAAAGTAAACAAAGATTATGTACTCCATACATAATCATCAGCAATGTATTAAAAACAGTAGCTTATTTTTGCAGCGGTGAAGGGCCTACTTGTGCCTGTGTTGGAGAATAGTTCCTTCATTTCAGCTCTCCAAGGACCACTGTGGTTGAGAATGCCGCCATTAAGAGACTCTGTCTTGGTTAATAGCTTTGGGTTGGAAAGAGCAAACTGTGTATTGTGTGCACACTGTGTTTTCCTGTTGAATAAACACATGAACAATTAAGTTTTTTGTTTACAAATGGTTTTTTTTTTAAAGGGTTAGTTCACCCAAAAATGAAAATTCTGTCATTAATTACTCACCCTCATGTCGTTCTAAACCTCTAAGACCTCCGTTCATCTTCGGAACACAAATTAAGGTATTTTTGATGAATTCTGAGAGCTCTCTGACCCTCCCATAGACAGCAATGTAATTATCACGATCAAGGTCCAGAAACGTAGCAAGGAGATCGGTAAAATAATCCACGTGACGTCAGGGGTTCAACCGTAATTTTACGAAGCTACGAGAATACTTTTTGTACGCAAAGAAAACAAAAATAACAACTTTATTCGACAATTCGTCTCCTCTGCGTTACCCTAGCGCCATTTTGGAGAGTATCCACTGAACATAAACAGTGTATGCTATTCTGTTGTTTACGATTTGATTTGAGCGAAAACAACGTATCCGCGCATATGTTCAGTGGATACTCTCTAAAATGGCGCTACAGGGTGACGCGGAGGAGACGAATTGTTGAATAAAGTCGTTATTTTTGTTTCTTTACCATACAAAAAGTATTCTCGTAGTTTCGTAAAATTATGGTTGAACCCCTGACGTCACATGGATTATTTTACCGATCTCCTTGCTACGTTTCTGGACCTTGATATTGGTAATTATGTTGCCGTCTATGGGAGGGTCAGAGAGCTGTCAGAATTCATCAAAAAATATCTTAATTTGTGTTCCGAAGATGAACGGAGGTCTTACGGGTTTAGAACGACATGAGGGTGAGTAATTAATGACAGAATTTTCATTTTTACGTGAACTATCCATTTAATGGCATGTCAGATTCTAAAGCTATACTGTCATGGCAAGAACAGAGTAAAATCAGTTTTAATAAAGAAAAAAGATATAAAACCGATATGAAAAGATATTATATAAATAGAGATAGATATATACTGTATATACACAAAGTTCAAAATTTTTTATTAACAGTTTTTGAAAGAATTATCTCAAGGCTGCTTTTATTTAAACAAAAATAAACAGTAATATAGAGAAATATTATTACAATTTTTACAACCATTTTCTGTTTTAAAATATTTTAAAATGTAATTTATTCTTGTGATGGCAAAGCTGTATTTTCAGGAGCCATTAATTCAGTCTTTAGTGTCACACGATTCTTCGTAAATCATTATAATATGCTGATTTGATGCTCAATAATTTTTTTTATCAATGATGGAAACAGTTGTGCTGCTTAATATTTTTGTGGAAACCATGATAATTTGTTTTCTGTAAAGAATAGAAAGTTTAAAAAAATGCAAATGCATATTGAATTTTTTTTGTGCATATTTTTAGCAAATGGCATTTTTTTTTTACCCAAATAATTTAAAAACAAATTGCCAATTAACTTTATGTATGTATGTATGCATGTACAATAGTTATTTATTTATGCAAAATAAAAAAAATGTGTATATATATATATACATACAGTATATATATATATATATATATATACACCATGTATATATATATATACACATTTTTTTTATTTTGCATAAATAAATAACTATTGTACATGCATACATACATACATAAAGTTAATTGGCAATTTGTTTTTAAATTATTTGAGGCTAACCGAGACTTGTCATTTGCACTTATATATTGTTGATCTTTTGTTAGTTTTGACTGCTTTTATTGTCCTCATTTGTAAGTCGCTTTGGATAAAAGCATCTGCTAAATGACTAAATGCAAATGTAAATGCATGCTGAGCGGTCAAATCAAATATGGTTGGGTGACTTGAATAACAACTAAAATTTCAGTTTGTTGTTGTTTCATATCACTTCAGAAGACATGTAATATAGTCCACAAGTCATCTGGTCAACATTTATGATGCTTTTGGGATGCATTTTTTCTGAGATGCAGCCAGGATATTCTTCAGTTCTTCAATTCACATGATGTGTTCCACAGAAATTACATGAAGGTGAACTATTCCTTTAACAAAAAGTAACATGGCATTACCACAGTTTTTGGACTTATACCATGGTCATATCATTAATTTTGGACATGCACCATCATATTAACATGGGTTTTTGAACAAACAACATGGTCTTTTAGCATGGTACCATGATATCACCATGGTCTTCTGACATTTACCATGGTATTAACATGATATTTCAACATGGTACCATGGTCCATGGACATTTACATTATATTACATTTACAACATTAGCATGTTTTTAAAAATGTTATCACAATTTTTGGACATTCAACTGGTATGACAATGTTTTTTTAACAAGGTATCAGAGTTTTTGGACATGTACTGTGGTATTATCATGTTTTTAAAAAAAATTATATCACAGCTTTTGGACATACAACTTGGTATTAAAGCGTTAGAAAATTCTGTCATTAATTACTCACCCTCGTGTTGTACCAAACCAGTAAGACCTTCGTTCATCTTCGGAACACAATTTAAGATTTTTTTTATGAAATCTGAGGGCACTCTGACCCTCCCATAGACAGCAAGGTAACTACCACGTTCAAGGTCCAGAAAATTACCAAGATGATCGACAATGTAGTCCGTGTGACATCAGTGGTTCAACTGTAAAGTTACGAAGCTACTTCCACACACGATGAACACACGAAGCGCCGCCACACGCTCTCGTCATGATACTGTCATGAACGCACGTCCACAAGTGATGCAGTAGAGACGAAAATGTGGAATAAAGTAGTTATTTTTGTTTTCTTTGCACAAAAAAGTATTCTCGTAGCTTCGTAACTTTACAGTTGAACCACTGATGTCACACGGACTACTTTGTCGATCATCTTGGTACTTTTCTGGACCTTGAACGTTGTAGTTACCTTGCTGTCTATGGGAGGGTCAGAGAGCCCTCAGATTTCATCAAAAATATCTTAAATTGTGTTCCAAAGATGAACGAAGGTCTTACGGGTTTCAAACAACACGAGGGTGAGTAATTAATGACATAATTTTGATTTTAGGTTGAACTAACCCTTTAACATTGGCTTTTGAACAAGTATTTCAATGTATTTCAATGACATGCTACCATGGCTTTTTGATCATGCATCATGAGCACAGTGTGTTTTTTGTACATTTACCATAAACTACCATGCTTATCTGGACGTATACTGTACCAATGTCCTGCCGTAGTATGGCGATGGCTATTACCTGTGTCTTTTTTCTGTGTTTTGAAGCTCCTTGTTTTGTGCTGAATGAAGGGACAGCACATCAGACCAAGTGGGTGAAGAAATTTGTCCTAGAGACTTCTGCGTCATCATTTTGGCTGAAAAACAGCATGTAACAGTCACAAGGCTGAACTCAAGTCCCTCTGCATAACATTGAAATCAGCATTTTTTGCAGCACTTGTTGATTCAAACTGTCTGCATAATTCCTGCCGAATACCAAAAGGACAAATCCCATAACCCTCATGATTGAAATCAATGTCACTCCTACCATTTTTGCCTCTTGGATACTGAAGTTTTGCATATTCTGCTCCACTGTGGCTGGACTGAAGGCTCCACTGGTCCAGGTCCTGCTCCATGTTGTAGAGATCAGTTTTGGAGAGGACTGGCGTGCTGGTGTACGGGTCTGGACCCTGAGAGTACAGGCTGCACACGTCATGACCATCTGCATCAGCTGGGTTGATGGTACAGTATATGGCACCTTCATTAGAGGCCGGGCTGTACTTCCCATTGTGGTTCAGATAATTCGATAATCCTGAAGCTGGAAAACATATTAATGAGTTATAGGAGATATGATTTGTAAGTGGGACAGTACCATAATGTAGGGGAACACCCATGACAGAGATCTTACTGTTGTAGTATTGATCTGTGGAATCAAGTCTGCCTGCACAGCAGTTGACTGAATCTTTTCCATTTGGAGAGAAGTTGCTGGTAGGCCACGAGTCAGCCAGCCAAGGGTAGTTACCCAAATGTGACTCCAGCAAACATGGCCTGTCAAGGAAATTAAATAATTTAATTTAAAATAAATTATTTTACATTAAATATGAAACATTTTACATTGATAAAAATTTGTTTTTAAACAATAATAATTATTAATATTAAATATTAATATTAAATACTTACAATATTATATTGATTATATATACATTATTATATTTACAATATAATACAATATACATTTTTAAATGTAATTAATAATAATCATTTTAATATTAGTTTTTTATTTACTTTTTCCTGACAACTTTCCATGTTCTCTCTATATAAATCCCCTATTTGTATGTGAAAATTAAATACAATTCATAATATGCCCTATTTAATGAATATGACATTTACACAACCAGTACAGTACCATGAAAATTTAAAAAAATATATTTTTGAAGTAAGTCTCACCGAGGTTGAATGTATTTTATCAAAAACTACTTTTTACAATTTAAAATAACCGTTTTTTAAAATGTAATTTATTCTTCAGTGTTACATAATCCTTCAGAAATCATTCTGATATGACCTTTTTGAACGGTATTGTATACTGTGTCAATTTAAAGTCTCCCTTGATACAAACCTTCCATTTATAAGATCCGAGCCATCACCACGAGAGAGTGCAACTAAAGAAAAAATATGAGAAAGAAATCATCCCAAAAGCTCCTTTGAGAACATAATTTGGAGGCACACATTGTTAGTTTTGTGCTAGTATGGTACAGAAGGTTACCTGCGGGCGTATATGCAAAGGAAGTAGTATAGTGTCCAAGTTCTTTCCTCCTCCTGTGTCTGCAGTAGATCCAGGTACTGAAACCCATTAGAACCATCCAGGATGATACACCAATCCCGGCAATGAAAGCTGGTTGACGGACCACCCCTGTGATCTGCTCGGATAGGCTGACAGTGTCATCCTTCACCACTGACAAGGACTGATCTATTGCTATTTCTGATAGAAGATATAAGGAGGAAATGGAAAAAAGTGAATAAGAGCGATTATGTGAAAACGGAAAAGAGACAGAAGAGTAAATACTTCTTGTCTTATACAGGAAACATTTTATCAAAATATATTTCCCCCATCATCTATCTTCAACTGACACACAGCATGAAAATCCCTAACATTTTCAATTCCTTAACATAAAATACGAGTAAAAGCTGAGATTAGAATCTGTCAGGTGGGATAAGTGTCACCATCAGAGGTGTGCGGTAAATATTTTTTTATAAACCTGCCGGAAAAATCCAGCTTAAACTGGCAGCTGTGTTTTGGACAGCACAAAATATGGTAGCAGGATTAATAGCTGGCCTAGCTAGTTATTAGATGGAACAAACTGGTCTTGAGCTGGACAAGCTGGTCCATGAAGATTATTGCTTGTTCAGTCTGGCCTTTAGCTGGTCAACACTAGTTAATAGCTGGATCAAGCATTTGGTTTTTGGCTTGTTCAAGCAGGTTATTAGCTAGCCAAAATGGTCATTAGCAGGTCTAAACTGGTTATTAGTTGGCTCAAGCCAGTCATTAGCTGGCCAAGACAGTTACTAGTCCAAGCTGGTTATTACAGTAGCTGGTCACTGCTGGTTTTCAGCTGGTTCAATCTAGCCATTAGCTGGCCAAGATGGTTATTAGCTGGAACAAAACAGCCATTAGCTGGACAAGCAGGTCCAAGAAGACTAATTTGTTGTTCAATCTTGCTAGTATCTGGCCAAGATAGTTATTACAGTAGTTGGTCCAAACTAGTTATTAGCTGGATCAAGTGAAAATGGTTAGTGGCTTGTCCAAGCAGGTAATTAGCCAGCTAAAATTGTTATTAGGAAGTCTAAACTGGTTAATAGTTGGATCAGGCCAGTCATTAGCTGGCCAAGCTGGTCAAATGGGTCATTAAATGATCCAAACAGGCTATTAGCTGGTCAAAGCTGTTTTTAGCTGGCTTAATCTGGTCATTATCTAGCCAAGATGGTTATTAGCTGGTCCCACCTGGTTATAAGCTGGGTCAAGCTTATAAATAGCTGGTGAAGATGGCCATTAGCTTGTCCAAGCAAGTTATTAGCAGTCTAAACGGGTTATTAGTGGGATTCAGCTAGCCATTAGCTGGCCAAGATGGTTATTGGTCCAAGCTGGTTACTAACTGGTTACTGCTGGTTTTTAACTGGTTCAGTCTGGCTGTTAGATGGCCAAGATTGTTACTAGCCAGTTTAAGCTGGTTGTAAGTTGGATCAAGCATGTCAATAGTTGGTGAAGATGGTTATTAGCAGGTCTAAACTGGTTATTAGTTGGACCATGGCAGTCATTAGCTGGCCAAAACAGTTATTGGCCACAGTTGGTTATTAGCTGGTCAGAGCTGGTTTTCAGCTGGCTCAATCTGGCCATTACCTGGCCAAGATGATTATTAGCTGGTCGAAGCTGAATATTAGTTAAACCAAGCCACTCATTAGCTGGCCAAGCTGGTCATTAGATAGCCAGCCATCTTAAGTTAGTATGACCTCCTGGTAACTGGTTTGTTGACCATCTTAGACCAGATAGAAACCTTCTACTGTGTTACAAAAAGCAGCTACTAATTTAAAATGTTCCTGAGTGGAAATGATGGCGGTACTCACTCAGGAAGATGAGCACAGGTTGGCTATGAGCGCCCACTCCTGCACTTGTGACTGCTGCAACCTGCACGCTATACATTGACTCGGGCAACAGCCCATCCAACATCACCCACAGCATATCCCCATCCACGCTCCTGTTGATCATCTGCTGAGACTCGTTTCCTGCACACCACACCTATACGACACAGATACAGACTTCAGCCATTACCATTTTACCTAGCGGTCACTGAGAGGCTCTCCACATTAAGGCTTCACCGGCCTCACCCTGTATTCTAGTATGAGCTCTTCTGGCACATCAGGGGGAGGAGGCTGCCAGGACACTCGCACGATTGAACTGTTACTTAACTGCACCACGCTGACTCCCTGAGGAGGGCCGCTCAGCACTAAAAGCAGAAATATGATGGGCAAATGTCAAAACATTAACATTACAGCAAAAGTTTGAGGGTAAAATGAAAGTCATGCGAACTAAAAGCTAAAGACTCGAGTTGAATATCAAAATAAGTCTTGCCTTCATCAGGAGTGCGAACCACAGCTATTTCACTGTCAATCCCCTGAAACTCATTATAATACGGTCTCATTTTGAACTCGTATTCTTTTCCTCTGTGTAGCTCTGTTAGAACAGCAGTGTGTAGGGGACCTGCTTTTATGTCCTGGATCATCCACACGCTCCCCACAGGCCTGTAGTACAGCCTGTAGCCTTCAATATAGCGAGGGTGCTGGTAAAGCTGAAATAATATCAACATTGACATATCAACAACGAGTTTCAGATTTTGTGAATGGCCATTCTTATGTAATTTTGTTACCGATGGTTGAAATGATATATTTATACTAATAATGATTTTTAATATGATGTAATTTATTTCTGTGATGGCAAAGCTGAATTTTCAGCAGTCCAGTCTTCAGTGTCACATGATCCTTCAGAAATCATTCTAATATGCTGATTTGCTACTTATATGTACTTATATTGACTTATTTCTCATCATTTATGGACTGTTATGGACACATATACAGTACATCAAATCATATACTCACAGTCCATGTGATTTGAACGCTTGTAGGGCTCAAGACTTTGGGTGTCTGCAGACGAACCCTGACCCCTCCTAAATCCATCTGCACATGTGCTTGGTCTTTTCCCTGACCTTCGGGACCATCTAAAAATGTACACACACATTATGCAGATGTGCACAAACCATAAAAACAGCCATCACACACGCTACACCAGAAACTACACTCACCTTGTGTTCGGACTGGCTCTGAGATGGGGCTGGGGTCACTCAGCCCAAAGGAGTTGACTGCTCGGATGATGAACAGGTAAACAGTGTTGGGGTAAAGTCCAGACACTGTATGCTTCTCCAGCCTCACGAGATCAGCTACAGTCTGCCATGTGCTGCCCACTGACTGACTGGAATAAGACACAGGAAATTAACTCTACACTCATTGACAAAACACGTCTCCAGCTTTACAATCAAAATGAATGATGTTTAAAGCCACTGACTGTACATCAGTTGAATTCTATATTAATGTGTCAAGTTGCAGCTTAAGCTGATGAGCTATATTACTGTATTACATTATTAATAAATCTAATTATTTAACATTTATCTTTGCTACTGATGCCTTTTTATCAAAGAACTAAATCACACAAAGCTGTGAATTGCTGTGCTTTGCGCCATGCCTAATTATATCCCTTAACCATCAGAAAAAAATCAGTGTGATGCTCATCCATACACATGAAAAGACATTTGAATTATGTCATGGTTCAATCATACAACAGAGGATACGCATTTGGATATTCAAATAATTGTTATATTGGTAGCTCTGTGAAGTTACTTTGAAACTGTAGCTTGTCAAGTCACAAGCTACTCATAATTTAAACTATATTAAAGCTGCTCTTTAGAAAAAGTAGTTAGCTACATTACAAGCCACTAACAAAGACACTGAAGAAATATAAGGGATCTATATCAGATATATGGTGGTGGTTTGGGGTCAGTAAGATTATTATTTTTTTTATTAAAACTTTTATTTAGCAAGGACACATTAAATTGCTCAAAAATGACAGTAATGATATGTATTATGTTTATTATGTTAAATAATTCTATTTCAAATAAATGCTGTTCTTTTGAACTTTTTATTCATCAAAGAATTGTGAAAAAAAATATTCCATAAAAAAATATTAAGCAGCACAATTGTTTGCAGCATTGAATAATTCAGCTTTGCTGTCACTGGAATAAATTACATTTCAAAATATACTGAAATAGATTATTTTAAATTGTAATAATATTTTGCAATTTTACTGCATTTTTTATTAAATAAACGCAGCTTTGCTGAGCATAAGAGGCTTATTTCAAACACATTAAAACCTCATACAGACCACAAACTTTATATATGATACACAAATATGATACACAAATCTGTTTTCAATATTATAACATTAACACATAGCTCCATAAATGTATACTAAACACTAAATATTACAACTAAACAACACTCATATAGCATACAGACAAATCTAACTGAATTACAGTGATAAACAGCAGTAATTAACCAAGTAATAATTTATTCAATAAAATAAATCATCTGACTCTCTAAATTAATCTGACTTCCCAACTCTATTTGAGAGATAGAGTCATTCTAATAGAGCCTGTTTTTATTCCCTCTGCTTGCTCAGTTGTAAGGCTGTGCGCAGAATATAAACACCTGCTATTTTGCCATACTGCTACATGTGGAAAAAACACCATGTTACTTGAAAACCTGCAGTTTTTCAAAAACAGCTGCACTATAGTCATGCAAATGAAAAATGTAGTTAAATTTGTAACAAGTTTGTTACTCCCCAACAGACTATAATTTCTTATGTGAAGCTTCACTAACATGCTGAATTGGACACATTGGCCTTTGTTAATGAGAAAAGTGAGCAAGGAGCAGTGTGTGAAGGACAATAGAGAGGATCTGGCCTTGTCTTCATGCACCGTGAGCACATAAGGTCTGCCCAGTTGACTTCTCGGACTGTGCGCACGACCGTGACCTCTCAACAGAGCGAGATGCACTATAAATCCAAGCGTCTTCTTAACAAGGTGTCAGAGCAGAGCTAAATAACGACTTGGCCTCTACTCTCCGCCTCCCTGCATCACCCTCCCTGCTGCTCTCCTGGCGGGACAATAATAGAGGCCTTCTGTTCATCTGACCTCCACAGAGCCAGAGGGACAAGTTCTGCTGAATTCTAACTGCAGTCCCAGGGAACATCCAGCCTGCAAGAGAGCAATGCTTCACTCTTACTTTACCATAAACTTCCATCCACTCTGACACTGTGAATGACGTCTGCAACAAAACCGGCACTATAATGAGAACGTCTGCCACTCGCTCTACCCATCAGGCCACTGGAGAGGGTGTAGAACCCCCTTCCTCATATATTTCTTTTTAATATGTAGCAGTGCAGCAGACTTTAAATCCATGCAGGAACTGACTTGAATGCATTTTCCAATATGAGATAAAGTGCAATCTTTACAGTAGAGGAACATTCCAGACTCAATATAGTATCGACAGCCTCCGTGACAAGCTTTTGATTACCATAAAACTCGGCCCTCAATTTGTAAACACAAGCACAAATCATATGTAATGCATACAGGGTCAGAAATTAAAAGTGGCTCAGGGAAAAATACCACTGAAACTTAAAAGGCAGGAGAAATGCTCCATAACATGTTGCTCTGTTTTTCTTGTTTGTAACATCTGATATAGTTCTTAATATTTTATTCCAGGCCTAGTTATACACAATATGACAGAAAATATGAGTAAATATTGATTTTGTTTTATTGGTGACACCTTAACATCCAATTATAAAAGATATAAAAAGATAACAGAGTGGGATTTTATATGGTTAGAAATAAACACAACCCCATAAATGTGAAAAAAATGCCCCTGAAAATCAAATCCAGGGGGCCAATATAACCTCTTAATGGAAAATTGGATTTCTGACGCTGAAAGTGTGTATAGTAATGCATTACAATAGAAGTCTACAGAGCAATGCCCTGCACTGGAGTAAACCTTATAACTTTCTCATGATGTGCATAAAGTGTTGTTTACACTGAGGAAAACACACACAGGAATGACATATTCAGATGTTTATCCACCTAGAAAAGTAGTGCCACCTCTGAAGGCCGATTTAGCTAAATAACAGCTCAAGTGATACACATATTGTCACATGTGTTCTATGTATTGTTAGATTTTTGTCTTCAGTGCCTTGTTTGACCTAGTTTCCCAGTGCTTGCTTGTGATTATTGTATTCAGCTCACCTGTCTATTACTATTATACAACTTTTAATTTTAATACTACATTAGTAAATGTTGAATTTAACATCAGATTAACTAAGATTAATAAATGCTTTAGAAGTATTTGTCATTGTTAGTTCAAGTTACCTAATGTAGTTAACTAATGTTAACAAATGGAACCTTGTTGTAAAGTGTTTCCAACCATTTAATTGAAAGAAAAGTTTTTTAAAAAGTAGTAATTTTGTGTTAATGGAGACATACAAACCTGAAAGCCTCGATGATATAGGAAGTGACAGCAGCTCCGCCCTCATGTGGGTTGGGCTGCCAAGTGAGAGTGACACTATTTGAGGTCACATCTGTCACCATGGGCTTCTGAGGAGGACCAGGCAGCTGCAGGGACTGCGAGACCCGTGGCACGGAGGACGTTCCAGTCGCTAAACACAAGAAACAGAGTCAAATGTGACTGCGTCAGGGGTGCATTCTTCTTCAAGGACATCTGACTGCACATTGAAATCATCAGTACAATGTGTTTCTTGAAGTATCAGCCTTTTCAAAGTCTTATACAGAGCTGTGTTACAGAGAAGAATGCTTGTACGCTACCTTTCACTGTCACAGTCCCACTCCAACTCGTCTCACCAGTGGAACTGGATGCGACACAGGTGTACGTCCCTGAGTCGGTCTCCTAGCAACAGAGAAGACAAAATCATTTCTGAAAGATGACAAAGATAATTGCTAGCATGCAATGTTTCTGAAGTAGTTGTGTGCTTTTCTCTTTCTCTCCAAATGATGCGGATCAAATGTATTGTTTCAGCCGATCAGTCATTTCAATTTGTTTTCAGTTAGTTAGAGGTCGTGACTGTTTGAACTTCTCTAAGATCACTTTTGACATTCTCAACGGCTGTTTTATATTCTGCATACCTTGTACCACAGATGGCATTCATACTGGAATGTTCTTGAAATCTGAAGCAATTAAAAGCAGTACAATACACAGCGGCTTCTCTCAAGTTACTTAAACTAATTTTTGAATGACAACTTCTTTTGAATGTTATATCAGGGTTTAAATTCTGCATTTAAAACTGGTTCGCTTTCAGTATGAATTTAAATTGAACTGACCAGATGCTGGAATTTGGATTGAAAAAGAAATTTACAGAATTGCAATTAACACATTCATAAGAGAGTAATTGTAATTATTCAACACAAGAATGTGTATGATAAACATTTATCCATTGCAGTCCATAAAATGAAAGTTAATTTATCAAATAAAATGCAGTTAATATTAAACACAACTAATATTGATAATTAATATCAGAAAATGTGTATGTGTGTATATAAAATAGTTAAAATAACATATAACATAACATAACATATAACATAGCATAACATAACATAACATATAACATATAACATTATAATTTTTACTACTTCATTTCAGGAATTGAATTCTGGCACATAACAATGATTCCGATATGTTATGTTACGATATAAGATATATGATAGGCTGCTTTACCAGCTCCACAGAGTTATATTAGCAAATTAATTCTTTCAGTCCTACATCTTTATTTGATAGGCTAATATATCTGTTATGTCAAACACTATATCATGACATGACAGATTTGGTTGGTAGTTTAGATGTATTACACTCAGAGCTTTACGTCTTGAGCTATTTTTCCACTGAACCAACTTGATGAAGGAATGACAAAATCAATTAAAACAAATCTTTCTCTTTTCTCCAAACTTGGAAGGAAACTCCAGATTAGTGTCACTTCCACTTTATCAGTGTAATTTTGTGTGCGTAATTACATTTGAGATAAATGTACGCAGAGCTCCTCTGAGCGATCAGATCTGTTGGTTATTGATTTATGAACATTACGTGGCTAAATGTGTTTTGCATGCGTTGATGGAAACCCTGCCTCGAGTAAGAAACGCTCAAGTGGACACCATTATTTCAGGTGTGCTAGTGAACATCTCACTTAGTTTGAAATGTTTTCTCAGAGGCTCTCTGTCCAGGGAGCTTTCGCTTTTCACAGCCCTAATCAAAGCAAACAATTCACATCTTTGTCTGAAGCGTCTGTCAAATACCTTCAAGCCGCTGATGTGTAAAGTGCCGTTTTCCATTAGGCTTATGTGAATGTCATCGCTCAGAATGCTTTGCCCATCCTTCTCCCACCTGACACTGGGGATTGGCCTGCCCATCACATGGCACTGGAGTAGGGCGCTGGAGCCTAAAGCGAGCGTCTGGTTGGCTGGGCCCTGTCGGATAATTGGTGGGACGAGATCTGATGGGCCTGGAGGATAAACAGCAGAGTGTGTTTGTGAGGAGTGTGCTTGCATCTGTCCAGTTGTCTAACAGTGCTTCTGGCATCCAAAGATCAGCCCGACTTACTTGTACAGCTACGGAAGTGCAACAGGCAGTCAGAGTTAATCACACTTTGAGAACACAACGGCACAAAAGATGAAGATATTCTGGAATTGCGGTGATGGGTCAGGATGGTTGACTAGAAGACTAGTTATTTCAGGGTATCTGCAGAATTTTAAGACTTTTTAAAGACTTTAAGACCTTCAGAAATAAAAAGATTACCGCATGTCCATACCAAACAAACCCATACAATCTCAAAATAAAACGTGTATGGCACATATTCAACAGCAAACAGGGTTTTTGTAAGTTTAAAATACTCAAGACATCAATATGTATGAATTAGAGTCGATCCATATTGGATTTGATGATATGATGATATTAAAGAAAGGCAATTAAAAGATTATTGTGCTGATACAACCTATATATCAAATCTGTTAAAAATGTATTTTTGTATGGTGACAGGGCAGGCCAGAGAGAAGCCACAAGAGTGTTAAATTTAATTAAATACCAGTTACAGTTAATATTCAGAAAAAAATGGTTATGCATAATGCAGGACTTTCAGTTACAAACAAGCGCATTTGTGTCGCATTTGCAGCGCTCACAATTTATTTAATTACATCATTGCCTTTAATTAAATCATTTCACAATTACGGTATTCACCCCAAATTTAAAACCTCTTAAATTACAATTATACATTTGCTATCCCTTTTATGATATTTAAGATTTTAGAAAACAAAATTTAAGACTTTTAAGGACCTGCAGGGACCCTGAATTAATGAAGTCAACCAGTTTATTAAAAAAGGAGATGCTGCAAAGTTTTAAAATGAAGTGTGTTCATGTACACTTCACTTATAGTAATCCCTCAGCAAGCACCATTAATTAAAATCAGCTTCATGACTTAAGGAAAGCACATCAAAATGATGTACACTGTGCTCGCACTCAGGCGGTTCAGAGATGCCATTTACTGGGTGGGATGAACTGTAATCCCAGATACTCACCAGTTTTCACTTCCAGCAGAGCCTTGGCGAGGACACTTCCTGCCACACTGATCGCCTGGCAGATATAGTAGCCGGAGTCCTCAGAGTGAACATCAGAGATGGACAGCTCTCCGCTCATGGACACAGAATAACGGCCCAACTGGGAAGGAGGTTGGCCAGGGAAAAGCAGCATCTACGACAGAGGACAGACTCTTGAGTTCACACCACACTGTGGGCAAATTACGCAGTATTCAGAGAGAGGAGATGCTGCAAAGTTTTAAAATGAAGTGTGTTCATGTACACTTCACTTATAGTAATCCCTCAGCAAGCACCATTAATTAAAATCAGCTTCATGACTTAAGGAACGCACATCAAAATGATGTACACTGTGCTCGCACAGTTTGTTAATACTAGGGGTTTTCTTCACAATTATCTCCAGAGATGCCATTTACTGGGTGGGATGAACTGTAATCCCAGATACTCACCAGTTTTCACTTCCAGCAGAGCCTTGGCGAGGACACTTCCTGCCACACTGATCGCCTGGCAGATATAGTAGCCGGAGTCCTCAGAGTGAACATCAGAGATGGACAGCTCTCCGCTCATGGACACAGAATAACGGCCCAACTGGGAAGGAGGTTGGCCAGGGAAAAGCAGCATCTACGACAGAGGACAGACTCTTGAGTTCACACCACACTGTGGGCAAATTACGCAGTATTCAGAGAGACTGAAAGTCTGTTTTACAAGGTCCACACGGCCATGGAAAATAGGATTGTCCTTGTTGAAGTAAAAGGGTTTGATGAACTAAGTAGGTATACTCTAATAGTTACAATGAAATGCTCTCAAATGTCTAAAGGTACAATAATAAAAGCAGCCTGTTTAATTTAATTTTACAGATAGGCTGAAAAATGGTCACGTACAAATGTAAAGCTTTACAATAACAGTGATGTACAATATATCCATACTATAACAATAATTTAATAATTCATTTAATAATTTAATTATTCAATTCATTAACATTAGTTCATGCATCAGGTATCATGGTCTAACAATTAAAAAGACTTCTAAGCATTTATTAATCTATGCTAATGTTAACTTTTTAAATAAATAATTGTCCATTGTTAATTTGTGTTCACTCATAATGCATTTGCATAATACAATAATTTATATAGTACTGTTTAAACATTTGGAGTCGGTAAGAATTTTTAATATTTAAAAAAAAAAGGCTCTTATGCTCACCAAGGCTGCATTTATTTAAACAAATGTACAGTAAAACAGTAATATTGTGAAATATTATTACAATTGAAAATAACTATTTTCTATTTTAATATATTTTAAAATGTAATTAAATCATGTAATGGCAAAGCTGAATTTTCATCATCATTACTCCAGTCTTCAGTGTCACATGATTCTTCAGAAAACATTCTAATATGCTGATTTGCTGCTCAAGAAACATCTTATTAATGTTGAAAACAGTTGTGCTGCTTAATATTTTGTGGAAACCGTGATACATTTTTTTTTAGAAGTTTCTGATGAATAGAAAGTTCAAAGGACAGCATTTATTGGAAATAGGAATCTTTTGTAACATTATTAATGTCTTCACTGTCACTTTTGAACAATTTAATGCATCCTTGTTGAAGACAAGTATTTAACTATCTAAAAAATTAAATAATTGAATATGGTGCCTCCAAAATACCACTGAAAAACAGCTGATTAATAGATCTCATTTCCATCAAAACTGCACATCAACTGATTTGAGCGCTTGGTTGTGTTTTTCTGGCAGTTTAATTCGCTGAGTGAAGCTGTTTGCTCCTTTGTGGGACTTCAGTTGGGTTAACTGGGGGTACGTACAGTAAGTGAGGGGGAATCCATTCACTTCTCTTAAGAGGCTTAAAATGGGCAAGTAATGGACGAAGGTGGAAAGGCCACAGCATAATCTGGAACACAGCTGCAAATGGCTTACAAGCGTGAACACAGGGGATGTGCTATAAAATTCATTGCACAGACCACACCCCAAATTACTCCAAAATGATGTGAGCCATCAAGGCTGAGTGGTCTTTAGCTCTCCCCTGCACTGACGGAGATCTATTTTTAGCCTGGAAACACGCTCCTGACTGCCATTACACTGAGCGCTGTGCTTTTGCTGGCCTATGGGAGCTGATCTGACACCTGATGTTCCTCTGTGTCAAATGTTCTCCTCTCACTCCTTCACAAGTGTCTTTTTTGCCTCTTAGGAGGCCCAACTCTCATCAGTGGTTTCCCATAATGGCTCTGAAAACACGCTGCTTTGTCGAAGGGCCCGGCTCCAGCAATCCAGTGCTCTGAATCATCTCTTCAATGCAATCAGCAATACATGACTAATCAGAATCAACAAGGGTAAATATAATCATCGAGAGGCTCTAGGCTTGTTTTCAAGCTCTGGCTAAGTTAATCAGTCACTGATAATCATGCTCTGAGATGCAAATAAATCATCTTTATATGAAAAGATCTGCCTTTGATCTCCAATCAGGCTCTTTAAACCCACGCATGACATACAGTGAAGTATTGGATTACTGAGGGACAATGCTGAGCCATCTCATAAGCTGCATCTCGAATCATGTACAATGCACTGTTTACTTACACTATACAGTATGTACTTGACTATATACTGCATACATTTCAAAGGGTAATATTATAGTGTATTCATATATTACTGTTCAAATGTTTGGGGCTGGTAAGATTTATTTAATGTAAAGTCACCAAGGCAGCATTTATTTAATCAAAAATACAGTAAAAACAGAAATATAGTGAAATAACAATAATAATAATGGTAAAGCTGAATTTTCAGCATAATTTCTCCAGACTTCAGTGTCACATGATCCTTCAGATATCATTTTTATATGGTGATTATTGTGAATGCTGAAAACAGTTCTGCTGTATTTTTATATTGTTTTCTTAAACAATGTTTTTATAGCATTTTTTTATACATTAGGCCCTACACTTTTTTCAGCATTTATTTGAAATATAAATTTGCAGTAACATTATAAATGTCTTTAAACTGAATTTTGGTCAACTTAATGGATCCTTGTTCATTTATTTAAAACAATATCTTACTGACCATAACATTTTGAATGTTAATGTTTTCATATGGAAATGACACACACTCCCTCGTTTTGGAGTTGCTGCTAGCTTTAGTATGTTAGCTAACCTCAACTTCAGTATCACAGTATCAGTGCTGTATCACAAAATCACACAAAATGGGACAGATACTATACAGTTTCATTGCATTGTTCGATCTCAAAACATGTTTTTATTAGATACTGTAGGAAAAAATAAGTTGCACTCACCTGACTCCCTTCTTTCTGCCAGAAAACTGCAGGAGGAGGGTTTCCCTGGGTGCCACACTGAAAAGTGACGGTTCGTCTTTGGGCAACTGCTTGATCCTGGGGACGTACGTCAATCTGTGGGGGCACTAAGGCCAGAGAGAGCAGAATGTAGCTGGTTAGAGAATTTGAAATGCGTCATGATTTTACTGTGTTTGTCCTTTTTTGTTTATACAGATGGAGGGACGGAAGAAAAATGGCGAAAAGTGTTGGCAAAATGACACAAGCTGGATCAAAGAGATATGAATTATATCTCTTTGGTTTATAAAAAACATATCCATTCAAAAGTTTGAGGTTAGTAATACTTTCATCCAGCAAGGATGCTTTAAAGACACTTAAAGACATTAAAGACATTTATAAATGCTGTTCTTTTGAAAAAATGTACAGTATCACATTTTCTACAAAAATATTAAAAAGCACAACTGTTTTTAACATTGATAATAAGATGTTTCTTGAGCACCAAATCATCATATCAGCATCATTTCTGAAGGATCATGTGACACTGAAGACTGGAGTAATGATGCTGAAAATTCAGCTTTTCATCACAGGATTAAATTACATTTAAAAATACATTCAAATAGAAAAGTTATTTTAAATTGGTATTATATTTCACAATATAACTGTTTTAACTTTATTTTTCATCAAATAAATGCAGTATTGTGAGAATAAGCTATGTCTTTCAAAGACATTAAATTACTGACCCAAACTAGAAATTAAAATAAAACCAAATATCAACAAATGAGAAAACTGTTGACATCAGCTAAAGGTTCAGAGCTATCCACTTTAATCTGGATAGCATTGTCCAGCTAATTTGATACAGGAAGAAATGCTCTGAAATCAAATGATTGACTTTGGCATCTCTGCAAATTAGAGCAGAGTTTGTGGCATTGCAGGGAAACATTCTGAAAACTCTAGACAGTATTTTGCTCAAGAGAAACATCTGAGAAGAAGGAGACTCCAGTAAATGTCTCAGGGGGAGTTATTTATTTGCATACACTGTCACTGTTGTTTCAGCACCTAATTCACTAAAGAAACTATGCTAATCAGCTAAAAACACCAACACCCAAAAATCAGTTTACAATCCAAAATGAAACAGCAGACTACCAATATTTGCGTATTTTACTAAGATGACCAGGGACGCGGGAAGTAGGGGTGCTGAGGGGGCTGCAGCACCTCCTGTTTTCACATGGTTGCAAATGCAACGCCAAGTTTGTTCATTTAAATGTATTCAGTTTTAGCATTTAATAATTTATTTGTAATGATCTCTGAGATGTAAATTGTAAGTGGGCTATAATAAACCCATGTTTATCTTTATAAACATGATTAATTTTACTTGTGATGTTTTCTATATGGGATGATTAGCCTAATCCTCATGAACACGTGACGCTAGCACGTGGTATCAGACATGAACTGTACAGAATGCGAAACAAGATTAAATTTAATACTACGAGATAATGGCGCAAAGCGAATTTTTTAAATGCCCATCCCAGCAAAAACTTTCCAAAATCAGCATCCAAACAACACCAGCCCCAGCACGAGCACCGACGTAAGTGAACCAGCTCCAGCACGAGCA